CACGGTTCTCGCGGCGTCCACGGGTGACTTCGAGCCTCCCGTGGAACGATACTCGCTCGGATACGGGCTCTGGGGTCACACGCGCCCGCCCGACGCCCCAGTTCTTACCGAAAATCTCTCGATTCGACGAAAAAATTGGTCGACAATGCGCGGAACTACGTTCGCGACTGTCTCCCTCGCTGGAGGAAAATGGCGGCCCCCGGCCATCCGAGTGACTCGCGCGCGCCACCGATGCTCTCCGTCACCGGCCGAACATACCCGAATATCGCCGATCCTTTTCGAAGCCTCTACCGAACGGTTAAGTTAAATATCCGCCGAATTTTTCCAACGATTTCCAAAAATCTTTTATTCAAAATAATCTGATTTGCAAAATTTTACTTATCGTTATATCTAATCACAAATGAAAAATGTGTTGATTTTATATTTATAAGCAGAATTAGTTTTGTTACAGGGCCATTAGCTTCTTCATCCTGATATCATGCATTTGAATTATTTAATGTTTACGAGAAATTTATACGCTTTTGTAATGGAAAGAATCCATAAAAATTTTCTATTTAATTAGCATTTAAAATTAAAAAGTATGGAAATAACATGTTAATATTAGCGAATAATCGAAATAAATTTTTTTTATGAGGGATGCACATGTGATTGTTTAAGATTACGATTATTTAACTGAAACCGGAGATTGTAATAAAGAATTTTTCAAAAGCTCACCTTTGTATAAAATCTTGTACACTTTGCGAGGGAAAAGCTGCACATCACATTTCCAAAACATTCGATTACGCGTACGTTATTAGCATTTTCTATTCAGTTACGTTGCACTCGGGTTACACGTTCAAATTTCGCGATTGGTCAAAACCAAAAATTAATCCGCTCCAGTGACCAATCAAAAACGCCAAGAATCATTGGCAAGAATAAGATATAATACATACGTTAAATAAGATTATTAACGTAAAGATAAATGGCAAGATCTTTTGCACTGGTATTACGGGTACTGTAATTTCCTTCGCCGCTATAAAAAATCGCAAAATAAATTCTACTTTGATAGAAACAACAATAAATTCTTTAATTGGTAACAAATAGTTGAGTCAGGTTCAGTCACATGATTTAGTCTGAGGATCATCCCTTATTTCTATCGTTAATAGAGCCATCTATTGTAACGTTATAATACTAACGTCTTTATCATGCGTAAACAAAATGATAATTATCTCTATTAAAATAGAGCAAGAGCTTTCACCATTCTTGAAAATAGTAGAGTGTCAAATTAGTTGTATTCATCATTCTGTGCTTATATCCGCAATTTGTACAAAAAGAGATGAATAACTATGATACATAATAGTAAAGTGTATTAGCTCTGACATAATAAATATAATTTTCTTCCAATTTTTAAGTATAACATTTCGCGTTGTTTGAGCATAACCAATATGTCAGACGTTAAAAGCCTCGAATACCCAACGTTAAAGGTACTTAATACTTTTGTAATTATGTTATGATCTTTTTGTTCATCTACATAAATTCCTTAGAAACGTTCGAGATCTTTGACAGTTCTTTATCATTTACGAGACTTGCGCTATTTTGTACTAACTTCATGAGCTTTATTATATTTAAATTTACGGAGATCCTGTTACCATTTATATTAATAAATTAATGCACAATATCGTGTTCTTAGGTTCCTTATGAACTCCTCAACAAAAAATTTCGGTTAGCACAAAAGGTCATAGATAGGGAAGCTTCATACGTACAAACAGCAGCTAATGAATTAATAAAGGATAATAAAACCTCTGTTCCTGCTGGGGAGATGAGCCTATTATTAGGTGGAGTTGTGGAGAAACTTCAAACCTTAAAGAGAAAGGCGCACGAATCTATTACAGAAGAATTGCAAGCAAGCATGGTTTGCAAAAGACGTCTAGAACATTTAAAAGAACACGCCAATACCGCACCGAGTGTTGTGAATCAGTGGCGGAGACAAAGGCTTGATAGAATGCTGATAGAATATTTCCTTCGGAAAGGCTATTATACAACTGCAACTAAATTAGCAGATAGTAGCGAGCTTAGAGATTTAACAAACATAGGTATGTTCGATATTAACGCTACTCAGTATTTTGTGAATTTGAATAATATTGTTTGTTTCGTTTCATATTTTTAGATGTTTTTATGGTATCCAGGGAAGTAGAAACGTCTTTAGCAAATCATGAAACTGCAAGGTGTGTTGGATGGTGCTATGACAATCGATCTAAGTTAAGGAAATTAGGAAGTACTATGGAATTTAATTTACGCGTGCAAGAGTTTATAGAGTTAGTAAGGCAGGATAGGAGGCTTGATGCTGTCAAGCATGCTAGAAAATGTTTTACCAATTACGATGATTACCAATTGCAAGAAATTCAATGCTGTATGGGACAATTAGCATTTCCAGCAAATACGTCTCTTAGTCCATATAAAGATTTGTTAGATGAAAAGAGGTAAGTATATTTACTAAGTTATATGTTATTAATTCTTATAACATATGGCATGTATATTTATAAAATATAATATTTACAGATGGGATAGATTAATTGAGCAATTCAGGCATGAAAATTATAGACTTTTCCAATTAGCAACTCAAAGTGTTTTTACAGTAGCATTACAGGCAGGTTTATCGGCATTAAAAACACCTCAATGTTATAGTGCAAACAAAGAAGGGAGAAATCCAAATTGTCCAGTATGCAATGAAGCTCTTAACGAATTAGCTGTTCCATTGCCTTTTGCTCATTGTTCACAGTCTAGACTTGTCTGTAGTATTAGTGGAAAACCATTAAATGAATATAATCAACCAATGATGATGCCAAATGGATATGTATATGGAGAACAAGTAGATAAGCTTGTTTCTTATAAAACATAATTATTAATTTACTAAATTAACTTACTATATTTTATTTTAGGCATTGGAAAAGATGGCTCAAGAAAACAATGGTACTGTAATTTGTCCAAAAACCAAAGAAGTGTTTCCATATAAAAAGATAGAAAAAGTGTATGTTATGTAAAAATTACTGACTCAAACACACAATTTGTATTATATACAATGCATCTTTCATATTCTAACTTGGAATATTTACTGTTTAATACTGTATACCGATATTAACAAAGGGAATAACTTCTATTTTTAAGGAAATATTTTTTTGCAAATTAATTAATTTGTGATCATCTACTAGAATAAAATGTGATACATATGAATAATGTGTGTTATGGAAAACGTTCTAATTTTTCGATATAAAAAGATATAAAAATTACTATGATAATGTAAGTGGTTATTAAACATGAAATCAGATTTTTGTCCTTACTCATTTATTTAACATCATTTCTACAATAAATTGAACAATTAAAACAATTCCATAAATCTACGTTTCAAGACGCATTTTTTGTAATGTTTGAACTTTGTAAGTATATTACAGTGATTCGTATTTATATTTATACTTTGCATGCCCAAAAATTTTACCATAATAATGGTAAGATTTATGTTGTAACATTGATGTATTCTGGCTCCTAGTTTGCTATACAATTTTTTGTTGTTTCTTTTTCATGTAAAAAACAGATGTACCACCATTCAAATACTTTTTAAAGTGAATAATTGTATTGTATATGTCAACGAAGAAAGTCTAATCTACCTAATGATATGCATTAAGCAATTTTAGATGACATATGTCCACAAGTTAATTGATATAAAAATATCCTTTCTACGCTCTACCAGCTTTAAGTTCAATGATTTTCCAATCATTGGTTTTATTGAATTTTATCTATAATTTATTGTCTGAATTGCTTTATGCAGAGGATTGTCCTTCTAGGAATTCGGATTCTATATTTTAGAATAAAATTTGTGGTCAACCTGGGGTACAATATTTGAGGTAATTTATGGTTTACCATTAGCAAGATTTGTTTATATATATATATATATATATATATATATATATATATATATGGCTCTGATAATTTAGCTGAGCATAATTTGAAAGTGTATTGGAATATTAGTTATAATTGTATGTGTGAATTGATAGAAATAGAGCATAAACAGTATTATAAACAGTAAAACAGTATAGCTTACGAGATGGTGTATACAATAAAAATGCAGATTTATAATTGCCACATGTTATTACATGTAGAAGCACTTAGACAGTATTTACAGATTTTACTAACTGTACCAAGACAGAAGTTCATACTTAATGATGTATACTTTTCTCTCTCTTTTTTCTTTTTCTTTTTTTTTTTGTTATAGTGAAAATAACATGTGTACACATATGTACATATGAGTCAATACATGTAATAAAATCTATTAAAAATAACTATATTTTTAATTTTGTCAAATAATAACTTCACATTTATTATAAATAAGGATAAGCAATAAATAATAAAATAGTACACATTATAAAGTAATAATAAGAGAACGCGTCTTTCCACTCAATGTAAAATATGCGGCACTTCGTTTAGATGTAAACAAATAGTAGGTCATGTCATAAGTAATATCGTTTCTTATCTTACTTTAGATAAACTTACGTATCATGTTTCGCTGAGATGTTTTTATAGGAACTTCTCCCTTTGTTTTTCTCTAATTATTGAAACAATTAGATCGGTATTTTTCACATTAAAGGAAGTTATAAGATGAGTGTCAGCGAAAACTATTTGCAGCATTACATACTATACAAACTTAAAAAAGGCAGTGCAACTAAGGATACTGTTAAAAATGTTTGTAAAGTATACGGTGAACACGTTTTAAATGTGAGAGAATGTCAAAAAATGGTTTCCGAAATTTCCGTATGACGTTTTTGAATTTTCTAATGAACACAAGTCCAGCCGAAGTGTAACGTTCGATGTCGACGCATTAAAGGCTGTGATTGAAGTAGAATCTTCTTAGACTGCTAAGGAAAAAGTAGGTAAATGCATACATGGATGATTAAAAGTAAACGGAAGTATTAATTTTACTCATTGAAAGTTCGAGTCAAAACGCGGCGTTACTTATGCTATGACCTATTTCTTTTTTTCGTAAGTATATGAAATAAATATTATATTAGAGTCTTAGTAAACTTGTTAGACATTATGATATTTCAATTTTACATATTACCTTAGCCTTCTTTTTAATATACAATATGTTAATTGAACAGAAAGCATAGCAAACACATGATATTACATTATAACATGGTAAACATATAGAAATATGTCTAAATGAAAAAAAAAACAGTAATAATTAGAAATACAAAACAAAGTAAATGAAACAAACACATATTATTGTCTTGAATTTTATCGAGATTAACATTAATCATATCATTTCCAAATTACTTCCGTTTTGTAGAACATTTTGAATTATTTGAAAAGACAAACACTAATTATCTAATATTTTAATAAAAAAAGAGTTGATATATAAAACTAATACTAAAATCATACAAAACACAAAATGTGTTTGTAATACAAATATACTTACAAATGTACCTTGTAATAACAAACGGTAAAGATATATTATAAAAAAACCTATTACTGAAAATCAGGATATAAACATACAAAATATAATAAAACAATTGAAAATGAATGATTAAAAATTATGAAAAGCTACCCTGTGCAAAATATTTATGTACCTTGGAAAAAATATTTGAATATGCTCTTTAAATGCACATGTGTGTGTTTCAACATGGTAAATATTTTTAATTGTTCGCTATAATCAGCACATTACTAAACATTTAACAAAGAAGAAAATCATTTTCCATTTTAACATCTTTGTTCTCTAAATAGGATACAGCTCAGTCCTAAATTTTGTTAAATTGTTAGTATGAAAAGTTTACAAACCACAGTCTTATTATAAATTTGGTCTATGTAAATAACAATTATTAATTGTACAGATCTTTTATGTGCTTATTTTAGCGGCTTCGAGTAAACTGATGCATGTGAAAAACTTAATAATATATGGATATTAAGGCTTATTGGTCCAATTTAGTATTAATAGTTGCATTAGGGCAGTGATTAAATATTAATCTCACAACTATGAACTTGATGTAATAACAGAGATCTCTATCATTTTTTTTTTTTCAGATTTTAAATATTCCATTATGAAATATTTGTTCTCAACAATACAAATTCGATTCTTTGAGGTATTGTTTAATGTTTGTATTTCTTTTTCTTTTTTTTTTATATTGTAACAAAAAGATTCATAGCATTTTAAAGAAGTATGAGACAAACAAATAAAAATTATTAACATCTTACTTTGCCAGATCATCTTATAACATCAAAATTTTCAGCTTCATCATTAAGTGCAGAGAAATCTATTAAATTCGTTTAATATCATAAATAGAGTAATGTCAAAATTAAATTGAACTTTATATTGATGAACTTTCATCTTATTCTTTTCCTTGCGCTCATCTTCTTTTGATTTTCCTATCAAGTGAATGTCTTTAAACATGGATTAATATTTTATTATTGAATATTGTATGTATTAAGATAATTCAAATGATATATTTGCTACCAAGATGGGCATAACCATAGAAAATAATATTCCAGTAAAGAGCCCTGTGATTAATGATGCTGCCCCAAACATACCAGCTGTTGCCATATATTCAGAATCTACCATTCTAAAATAAAAATTCGCTCTCTAATATGTTTCAATATTAAAAATAAAAAAAAAAGGAAAAGATTTTATTTTTTCTTATCGTATAAATCTCACCTCGGACAATACATCATGGATAAAGAGGAAAAATAGCCACTACTTATTCCCATTGTAACAGCGATTAGAAAATAAATCCAGTCATTACTAATGTACACTGGTAATATTCTTGAAACACCACTTGGTTTGTAATTACAGAATAAAAACAATGGTATATAGAAAACACGTAAAAGAACTGGTATTATTAAGTACTTTTTACTAGGCTGCAAAGAAAAAAGATAATGATTTAAAAATTAGTTTCTGCATTTATTACTTAACGGATTTCGATTAAAAAATTTACTCACCCACTGAACCAACGATGCGATTGAACTACCAATGAGAGCAGTGACGTTGAACGTGAGAAAACACATAACAGTACTGTAATAATTTGATGAAACTATAAAATTAGGATCCGAACGAACTATGTCAGATTGAACAGATGGAAATAGAGAAAGAGTTACGAAAAATATGAAAAATGTGTTGAAGCATTGAGGAAAACATTGTTTAAATATTTTCCAGTATGGCGGTGTGTTATGCTTGTCTCTTGCATTATTTTCTAATTGCCTTTTATTTATTCCTTTCTGATGTAATAATTCGCGGTATCGGTAAAATCTCTACAATCAATAACAATTCATGTAAAACATTATACTTAATCTATAATAAAATTGATATGAAAATTGTAAATCTTACATTTATCGGTAGTGCAAAATAAGTATCAAAGCATGCAAGAAGAATAAACAGAGCAGTTATAAAGTAATATATTGCCGCAGTCCGAGGATTTGGTGCCATATACTGAGCAAGAAAGTTAATCATCGCTGTAAATGTTCCACTTATATTCTGAAAGTAACATAAGAGTAATATAGTTGAATATGTACATATTACATGAAGTTTTATATCACAAAACTGTACAAGTCGGTGTTTACCGAGCCTAAGATAACAGCTCCTGTGTACTTTGTTGGTAACTTTGCCACCATACCAAACACAGAGTTTTGGTAAATTCCATTAGCAGCTGAAAGGTGTTTCATAAACAAAAATTAGTACTATGTGGATGTGAATGTTCTTAGAAAGTACATTTGACACTAAGTAAGAAAGTGGATTATAATTTAAAATCAATGTACTCTCTAATTGCAAAATATAAATATAATTTATTTAAAACACATAAATGACTGTTATTTTGGAATTTCTGCAAAAATAATTTTATCTTACTGTTTAATATAATAACAGAAATCATGGTAATCCAGAAAAAGACACCTGGCCAACCAGAGCTATCAGTCATTGCCAAAATAACGGTACATACAAATATTAAAACTTGTATGAAGATGCCCCATACTATACGTGTTGTCAAATTGCCACTAAAAGAATTAAAAAATTGTCTTTAAATACAGATACTTGATTCTTATTAAGTATCTGTAGATTATCACATGATGATAAAGATTATCATATACAATGAAAGTGCTCTAGAGAATATGTTTTTCAGAAATATTAAAAGATAACACGTATATAAGACATTAATTTGAAATTATACAGAATATACACACCCAAATTGCATAAATACATTTAACCAATTAAATAGTAGATTTGGTATTTGTGCTGCAAATCCTAAGTATGCAAGAAAATTTGTGGCATAGTTTGATTGAATTCCTGTATACTCTTCAGATAATTTGTAATTAACAAAATACTAGAAGAATAATAAATTTCATTAAAAATGTATAACCTATGTAAAATTAGTGATAAAAAAGTGAAAAAATATGCTTTAAGAAGTCATACATTTTTTGCTGTTATGAACATATTCCATGGCATTAAGATACCAATTCCATGTAGTACCATTATGCAGAATACTATGTTTAATCTAAAATTACATAAATAAGCTATTAGAATTAAAATTTTTAGTAAATTATAATAAATAGCATTGAAAGTATGACATCTTATTTATATACATACCTATCTTTAGGAGGATTTAATTCAAGGTCTGCTTGATCCATTGTAACTCCTCTAAAATTTAATTCATCATCAGGTCTGCCTGTACCTTCCCAACCAGGAGAAAGACGAACAGGCTCAGTGCCTACAATAAAAGATCTAGTTTCACAATATGATTTGGGCAACACATATACATACAAATTTAATGATACTGCAGTTAAAGCTATCTTTAGAACACTTTACTAATGCTCCAATTTAAAGCAATTTATTAATTTAGCGATCATGATACAAACACTTGATATGTACATTACACACTCATATGATTTTATATTTGTATCTTAGATTTATATAGCACAGAGGATAAAAAGAATATATCACGGCACTAATCTTAATCGCATAAATATTATGTTTATATTTTGCAAAAAATAAAATATTATTTACCAGCTGGTACACGATCTTTAAAAGTGTTATAAGAAGATTTAATATAACCTGGGAACATTGATGTAAAGTTTATTTTACTTGTATTCCATATCTGCTTAAATTATACCCCTCTATAACATACATAAGATCATGCTATAAGCACACTATAGGATAGCAGAAAATGCCACAAAATTATGGAATTGAATAGCTAATTTAAACATATCAGGCACATGGTATCAATTATTAAAATATAATTATAATATTAATTGATTAACCGATGATAATTATGATAATAACACACACATATATATATATATATATGTATATATACATACATACAAACACATGTTATTTTATAATATTCATAATATATTCATTTCTGTTTCTTGGATCTAAGATATATTCATATTTAGTTCACATCAACTCTGTGTCAGCAAAAAAATAATGTTCTATATAAAACATGACACCTTTGTACATATAATATGCATACAATATACTTCTTCCATAATGAAATTCTAATAATATATATTTTAAAGCATCGTAAAATTTATTGTAGAGAATTATTTAGAACATAGGAATTTGTATTATTTCATTTCACTCATCTCAATATGCATGTACAAAGTTTTGTCTACGATGGAAAGATAATTAGGAAATAACACGCCTTTATGTTTATTTTCAGTCACTTTTTCCTAAATTTTGTTTTTCAAAGTTAATTATCTATGCAAAGCACAATAGTAAAAAAGTCAAAAGCTAAAGATAACTAGATAATATTTTAAGATGAAATTTTAACAGAAAATCACATATAAACTTCAGATGCTGTATATATTTAGAAAAATTAACGTTTTTGTATTACTCTCTTAATAAAATTGATAAATTAAATTAAACATATCAGTTAAATATGTAAAAGAATAAAAAAGATACAGTATCAAATGATTCTAATGTAATCGTCATATAACAATATTCGATAATAATTAATATTTAAACATATATAACATGTAAAAATAATACTTAACATTTCATAATATACTGCTCTTTTTAAGAATGAATCTAAAATCACAGTGAATTTTATGAATCTTCACCGGTGAGAGACCGGTTTGGTGGAATATTTGCGATAAAAATAAAAAGAAAGGAAGGTGCACGTTTGTAAGAAGGGTAAAGCTGTAAGTATTCAAAATATAGTAGTAAGGCTGAAACGATTAACGTTCGAAAGTATGGAGAAAGACGATGCGATAAAGAAGGGCATTAGTATATACCTTTCGCGGGCACAATGCGTGTTCCATTTGAATCTTTTAACAAAGTTTGTTCCTCGGGGCCCACACTAAATTCCTTCTTCGTGTAACTACCCGCCATTTTTTCACAGTTTGTAAGATTAAGTCAAATTAAGAGCTGTTGCAATATTGAGGGTTAATATACTTCACGTGTTAGTGAAGGGTGTTAGGGTGGAGATGAATCTGCGATAATTGTTTCGTCTGAATACAGTTTCGTTTTTGCCAGGTAGACGGATATTCAGAATTCAAATAATCATTGGAAAACTTGAATTACAAGAAAGTATTTAATTGACATTTGCAGAGTTCTCCCAATTTCTGTGGAATTCCGTGTCTGGCGAAAATACTTTACGAGTTTAGTGTCGGGATCACTGCATATTCGATAGTTAAGGCTTCAAAGTTATGAATAGAACTGCTCCCCAATGTGCAAGACATACCATCTTTCTGCTTTATTTTTTATAGGTTAAGATAAGATAGGGGTTAGAGTTCGTCGAGCGAGCTCCACGCTGCGCGGAGATTCAGGAATAACCACGAACTAGTTCAAGATATTGTGATACGCGCGCACATCTATAATATTCAAATCAACAAACAGAAAAAATCTAACATGATGGACGCAATTGGCAAGACTAATGTAAGACAATTAGTTCTCCTTGACTGATACATGTACATTATTGTACATATTTATATCGGTATTTCATTGGATAATTTTGTATGTGAGATACCTCTTTTTCTTAAATATTACTGATCTATTCTATATCCAAAATTAAAAAGTTTTTATATTTACAAGAATAAAAAGGAACAAAATGATATTGAAAAACATAGTTCCCATTTTACACATCCAAACATAAAGTTATAAAGTTTTATTTTTAAATGCTTTCGATACATACTATCGCATTCTTGTATGTGTAATTTTTAAAATTGGCAGCCATGACTAATTTCTTTTTAAATCTTTTATTAACCCCAAGTTTCAACTTGATACCGATCTTCATTTTCTAAACGTTTAACAAAATTTTCTGCTTCTTCTTCAGTTGATCTTGTCATTTGTTTGATTAAATCAACAAATTCTTCACGAACACAATTTGGCATATTTTTAGAATTACCTGCTAGGTAAATGTTACCATTTCTGTTAAGAAATTCCCAACAAAGTTGCTTTTGACTATGTATAACATGTTGTACATATCTAAAATGTTAACAAAAATTTAGTTACATAAGACGCAAGTGGCACATTTAAGTGAATAATTTACATATTTAAGGAGTATTTACTTACATTTTATGCTCTTGATCTCGGGAAAACGCACAGAATAAATTTAAACCTTTTTGCAGCGACAAATATTCAAAATCATCTTTACAATGGTAATCTTTTTTCTTGTTTCTACAGCCAAAAAAGAGGACACAATCATTTAAATTATCATCCAATGCACATTTATCTAATATAGCCGAACGAAACGGTGCAATTCCTGTTCCAGGGCCGATGAATATCATTGGCTTATTGTACTCAAATTTAAATGTTCCTTTCTGTATCCAAAATATTATCTTGTCTTCCTTTTTCAAACTCGCCAACCAATTAGAACACAGTCCATATCTTGGCTCTAGTAGTTTTGTTTTATACTTTACTACTGCTATTAAGAGATGAATTTCATTTTCAGTAATCCTTAAACTTGAAGCTATGCTAAATGCACGAGGCTTTATAGGAGACATAATTTCAAATAATAATTTTACATTCAATTTACTAGTTGTATGTGGAAAGTCTGCTAGTAACTCTAAAATAGTTCTTCTTGGCCTATTGATGTAATTATATAGTTCTTCTTGACCACTTGCTGTTGTAAATTCATTTAACTTGTCCTTCTCTAATTCATTTTCACTGATAAGAGATAACAGTTGCATCGTAGATCTGCGTGGCTTAAAGCTCAAATCCCAATATTGCTCTACAATTTGGTATAAAGTTAGAATTTGTTTTAGAACATTAGGTACTTTAATTTCTTTTTCAGTTACTTGAATTAACATATCCGGATTTAATTGCACATTATTGTCATTTAATACATTAAAAAATTTTTCAATTTGTTTTTGAGAATTCTTGGGTCTAACATACACTATGTCTCCAGGTTGGTAATTAATGTTATCTGATCTAAATTTAATTAATCTAACATCCTGAAAATGATCTTGTGCAGTAGTTCTTATATTTTCAATTATTGTACCCACTTTCACTTCATTATTTGTAAATACTTCTTTCATGAAAATATCATGAACTGAACAATATTCATTATTCATGGAATTTCTGTCTCTTTCTGATATATGAAATCTCTCAATTATGTTATTTTCATTATTAATCAAATCTATTATGGAAATATTAAACGTATCGCCAACTTTCATCCACATTTCTTCTAGCCAAGAATCAACAACAGCATCAATTCCTAAATCATGTTGATCATCTGCTAGCCCAATAGGTAACAGTTCCTTTGCACCTAGTTGCATTAATCTTCTGTTTAACTTTTTTGCTGCGAAATTAAATTTTTGATAGGAACTGTCACCTAAGCCTAATATTCCATACTTTACATTAGAAAGCAATGTTGTTGGGAGATTTTTTCGTAATAGAAGTCTCCAGAATTGCCTCATATTATTAGGAGGATCTCCTTGGCCTGTGGTTGCGACCACAAACACTATCATTTTTTCTGTATCAAGATTTTGAACGTTATAATCATTCATTGCAAAGACATTGCTTTCCAGGCCTTTTCTGAAATAAAATCGAAGAGACTTTTGTAAAAGACATTGTATCCTTAATATTAGCATCAGTAATTATATTATAAAATAACATTGATAAAGTTCTTAATGCTAATTAATGATTTCAAACTTTCTAATTGCGAAACAATATACATATATTTCTATCTATACAATAGAGGGAAGGACAATAACAAAACCTTTTGGCAGTTTTCCAAATTTGTTCAGCCACATCTTGTGCAGTACCTGTCTCACTACCGTACAATATCGTGATTCTCATAATGTTCTTTGTCGCAAAAAAATTTCGAGCGTAAGTCTTTTGATAGAAAAAGAATTGTATCGCGTCACGAGATACCGCTATGTTACCAATTTTCAGCTGTTACACCGTGACGTCATTGGTCGTTTAGCAGACGATATCTGGAGAAACGTAAGTTTCACGAACGGGGTATGTAAACTGTAAAAAGCAAATATAATTGTTTTTTTCCGTGTTAAATGTATTTCGCATATGGTAATGGTCTTACTTAATCAAATGTCAAGGATAGGTGTCTAGGCTAAGACCCATTTGGCGCTTAGCCCAGGATATTTATAAATAAAAAATAGCTTCCCGTGTGCATTGCGTGAACGAATGGTTTATTATGACTATTATGTACCATAATTATGCCACTCGGCGATTGCTTTTACAATATTTATATCCCGGCGAATTTACATATTTTTATACGTCAGAAGAGTAATAGAACGCTTTGAAATCGGTACAAAATCCAAAAACGAAAGAAAGAAAGAATCGTAGCGCATCTTAAAAACCGGAAGCTGACATGATATTATCAGTATAACCATAATAGAAAATATTCAGAACTATTTGTGATATTTTACGAGGAAATTATTCGCGTACATGTGTTAATCACCTTCGCGAATGGGTTAATTTGAGAGAAATGAACGGGTTGTGGTTAGAATGCCCGTGGATGAACCGCGTGACGTAACTACGTGAAATGTCGAGTTTTTGCAGATGAAGTGACGTTGGTAGTACTGACATCTGTTTGCGGATGATTGTCAAAACCTATTTTCTCAACGAAGTCCGCAGTTTTGCATGCCAGTATCGTAGGAAAACATCATGACTGCGTTCGATTTGTAAAAAGAAAAGAGGCGCAAAGTGCAACCGCGAGAAAGATAGCGCATCTGTTTTGGAGGAGTGAGTGAGTGCAGAGAAAGGTTTCTCGTTTCGTTTCACTCGTCGCGTTTCACCCGTTCGACGAGTGACGTGCCTCGGGTCTTCGTCGGTGGGGAAGAGGATTGTTCTTGGATTTTAGCGCAAATAGAGAAGACGCGGGCTTTCGTCCTCGCGAAAAATTTATCACGCGACTGTGCGTCTTAACCTTTTCTATTGTTTAAATGCAATTAAAGTGGGCTGCTGGCCGCAGTGTGTGATTCCTGCGGATCGACGACTATCCTCACGTCAATTTCGCAGCGATCGACCGATGCATAGTACTTCGATGGAGCTTATTCGCGCGTGACACCAACTTTTGGGACACCAGGCTCGACTTTCGCCAGGTAGCCCCAATTCCGATCTACCACGTGTTATAAGCTTTACTTTGTTCCGGATATTGTATTCATATTTATCCTTGCCGCGACGCTTGCACGACATAAAAGCTTACAGAGGTCAGTCACATTTTAAACCTCGATTACAGTTTACCGCGTTTTGGTTTTGAAATGTTTAGCTTCGCCAACGAATTCAATGTCACGCTTCCCTAGAGACCTTCGTTCGCACACTGTCATTATTCTCATCATATATATTATTTGCATGTGATTAATGTCCATCGAATGTAAATAAAGGAGCTCTTAATGAGTTTTTTCTTACCTTCTATTTTATTTTGCGGATGTGTATCCTTTTGTTAAGGTTACGAAGTTATCTTTGTTAATAAAGTTGACAATGCTTGCTTTCGTTTAATGTTATATACATTTGTTTATACACGTCATGTTCTTTTCTTCATTAGTCATACCTTTTCTTTTTTTCTTTGCAGATTTTGGTAGCTGTCTACATTTACGTTACTGTGGCAGCTTTTATTTTCCTACATACGATCAACATGTTTACCACATGACATGAACTTCATTTTATGACAAGTACATAATATCACTAATATTTATGGAAATTATCTTTGCGTCACATTTTATGACACAAAATATGAAAAATTTTATTACATGCAATAACGGTTTAACAAGTATTTAATGTAACTTTTGACACCACATTTATGCTTTATAAATATTTTTAAGTAGTGTATGAACGTCACATTGTCTACGCATTAAAGACAATAATATTCACACAATAAAGGGCCATATAGAGAAAATGAATAGCAGGCTTGAAGAACAGGAGTCAAAATGGACATGTGAATATTGTACATACGAGAATTGGCCTTCATCGTTGAAATGCACAATGTGCAGAGGTGCCAAGCCTTTATTAGGGGAGGATATTTACCGCCTACGAGATCCAAGCCCACAAAGGTCTGGATCAAATGTCGCATCTGGTCCAGTAACTCATTTAAGTCCAACAGATTCTTACAATGTTAGTTGTCAAAATGTACCATTGGGAAAGTGGTCTTGTGCAATGTGTACCTATCTTAATTATCAAAATACCACACGTTGTGTTCAGTGTGGAAATAGGAAACCTACAGGTCTCAATCAGTCGATACACTCGACTGTAGCCTCGAATTTGCATGAACACCTAGCACCTCTTAGGCTAGGAGATCCACCACCAAACTCAGGATCAAATCCTCCTCCAATAAACTTACACCCAGAAAGATATTATAACTTACAAGCAAATTTACATCCCGAGAAATGGTCTTGCCTTGTGTGTACTTATGAAAATTGGCCAAAAGCCACAAAGTGTGTGATGTGTGGTAATCCTAAAGAAAAAGATAGAAGAGACAGAACAACCAATAACATGGGTGTTATTTTACCAAGCCCAGAAAGAGATCATAGCCAGCGTAACTTACCTTCTCCGCCTCATACACCTTATATTCATCAAACCCAGAGGGATGAGAATTTGGCTGTGGGACGAAGGTAAATTTATTTTTTACATTTGTCGAGAATGATTGACTGTTAATCAGAATTTGATTGGTAGAATTAGCGAGATAATGGCGACGAATATTCGAGTTTATTATAAGTTTTCTTATATTGTAGGAATTCACATAGATATCCTGATAGCAGAAATGACAATTTGTCAACTCCTCAATCCCCTAATAATTGTGACTATGAGCGTAGACTAAAACAGTTGAGGCGTCATACTGATTGGTGCTGGTTAAATGCGTGTCTTGGCATTGTGGAAGGTGACAATGCTCCTGTTGAAGCTTATTTGGCAAGTGGTGGTGATCCTGCTCGTCAATTGACGCATTCAGAAGTTCTGCTTCTAAATAGAAGTAGTGCTTTTGATGTTGGACATACCTTAGTACATTTAGCTATTAGGTCTGTGGGAAGTAATTTTTGACAAAGGATTTCTTTATGAAGCTATTTTAGCTTATTTTATATAATTACATGAGTGTATATATTCTTTGGCGATGTTTCAACTTGTTCATTACACGTGTAGAAAAGTAAATCAACTATCATTGAGAAAGACACAGTTTCCAAATTGTTCTTTACACAATTTTATTATACTTTTGACAGATTTCAAAGAGAGGATATACTAGCGACATTATTATCACAAATCGAGGGTTCTGGATCTGGAGTAAAAAGAGTACCAAGTTATGTTGCACCAGATTTGGCTGCTCAAATTCGCAGACATGTCACTAATAGTATCCGGTTACGCAAGGGTTCTTTCCCATGTTATTTTGTCACTGATATAGCTACATTTGCTTTGCCTGCTGAGGTTACTATAACATTATAATTCTTTCTTTGGGATATTATGGGATATTAGAGATATTAGTCCGTTAAAGATCCCCAGATGTAACGTAGGTTATATAAATAATATTTAAGCAGAAAATTATTTATTAGGTCGAAGATTTACCAAGTATAGTGCAAGAACAGATGTTGGAAGAGTTATTAGATAAAGAAGCTCAACAACAATTAGAAGGTGGCGGCGGAGAACCACCAGCACTGAATTGGTCTTTAGAAATTACCGAACGTTTAGGAAGTCGTTTACATGCACTTTGGAATAGATCTGCTGGCGATTGTTTATTAGATTCTGCTATGCAAGCTACTTGGGGTGTTTTTGATCGAGATAATGCTTTAAGAAGAGCTCTTGCTGACACTTTACAACAAGCTGGTCAATTGTAAGCAATTCTTACGTCAATTTTTATTATAATATTGTTCTACAACACATCTATTTTTCTTAATTTAGTTTTTATCCTCGATGGAGAGAATACGAAGCGTCTCAAGCATCTAGAATGTTGGATTTTACATTAGAAGAGACTCAATGGCAAGAAGATTGGGAAAGCTTATTAGCAACAGCTGCTCAACCAGGAAGCGCTCTAGAGCAGCTACACGTATTTGCCCTAGCCCATATTTTAAGGCGACCTATTATTGTTTATGGCGTTAAATATGTTAAAAGTTTTAGAGGGGAAGATATAGGTAAGTATTGATCGCGACGAAGGTAACATTATTCGTAAGATTTATACATAATTAAATAAAATATTTTCATACAGGTTATGCAAGATTCGAAGGTGTTTATCTTCCACTTTTATGGGAACCTTCATTTTGTATTCGCTCACCTATTGCTTTGGGTTATACACGCGGTCATTTCACGGCTTTAGTTCCCATCGAGCCATACACATCGTCTAGAATACCACCTCTTTCGTCTCATGGTGGTGTAGGCTTGGGTGGCGGTAATGGTCCACTTCAACAGCTGCAAATACAGATGCAGACTACATTCATGCCTTTAATGGACCGAGAACATAAACTCTTACCAATACATTTTTTGAGTCTAGAAGAAGTAGGCCGCGAAGAATCTATTTTAAAGGAATGGCTCGATGTATGCAGGACCGAAGGTGGTATTCTTGTTGCGCAACAAAAACTACACAAAAGACCCTTATTAGTAGCACAAATGCTAGAAGAATGGCTAAATCATTATCGGAGACTCGCGTGAGTAATTTTATTCCTTTCTTTAAATTTCGTTCGTTCGATTTAGATTTCGGTCTATATATATATAGATGTAAATTAATTTTTGTCGTTACAGTCAAACTAACAACGCACCCTTTTTGAGACCAGCAGTTTTACAAGATTACAGTAGCGATGGAGACACAGAAGATGAATAACAAGGCGGAATGCTTTAAGTTATCGAAGTTCAACCGAGAAGACTTTTTCTATGATTTGCCCAAAACTAATTGTATCGCAAGATCTCAGAGATTCGCAACTTTCTGCTGAATACAGCAGAAAGAAGTGTATGAATGTTATAACTAACTAACACACACACACACACACACACACACACACACACACACACACACACACACACACACACACACACACACACACACACACACACACACACACACACACACACACACACACACACACACACACACACACACACACACACACACACACACACACACACACACACACACACACACACACACACACACACACACACACACACACACACACACACACACACACACACACACACACACACACACACACACACACACACACACACACACACACACACACACACACACACACACACACACACACACACACACACACACACACACACACACACACACACACACACACACACACACACACACACACACACACACACACACACACACACACACACACACACACACACACACACACACACACACACACACACACACACACACACACACACACACACACACACACACACACACACACACACACACACACACACACACACACACACACACACACACACACACACACACACACACACACACACACACACACACAGACGCGCGCACGGACGCGCGCACACACGGACGCGCGCACACACACGGACGAGCGCGCGCGCACACACACACACATTGGCAATGTATCATTTTTAAATGATCTTTGTACATTAATATCGGTCACTGAACCACTAAACCACTGAACGTCTAAAATTTCATCGATTCGTATTACTTAATTATATCGGATTCGTCATTACAACGTTTATTCGTCATTACAAATAGTTGCTGTATTATTTTATTGTTATTTAATCAAGAGACTGCGTAATAAGTAGTTTCGTTGCCAAAGTGCGATTCTGGGTATCAAAGTAGTAAGTTAACAAGTGAAATTTTTGTTACAGCTAATATCGTTTCTGTTAGAGTTAGTTTTCCCTCTTGATAAGTTGACTATTACTGAAAATATGTAATATTAATCTTCACAATATGTTTATAGCTAGAGTTAAAGTTATTAAACTGTTGTGTCCCTGACATTAATAAGAGTTCCTTCAACGTGCGGCGACCAAACAAAGGGTCATAACTTACCTTCCAAAACATCAAGTCTACCTTAATCTCCATTCGATTGCACTCATGTTCACGAATAGCGAAGCCTGCATAATGCCGGATATAATCACAGATACACGTCTTAACGTCATTCGATAAACACCAATAGCGTTAAAGTCATCTGTAAGTAATTATATTAACCTGAAGACAGAGTTTTTAGTTTCTGACGCTTATATAATATAATCAGCTTAAGTTTATTTTCATTATTTAAAGGGGAAAATGTCAGTCAGCAAGCCACTTAACATTAGCAATTCCATTGTAATTTCTCTGAGTTTCTTGGAATTAAGAATCGGTAGTAGGCTGGAAGTTGAAAAGCGATAAAGGTTCGAAATATGTATGGTAGATATTCTTCCGCTTCCGCGTGTCAGTTTCGATAGATCTGGACCGAATTTCTGATCTCGTTAAACACTTTGAGAGATAAAGATTTGGTTTCTATCTCGATGTTAAAATACGTACGAATAATTGTATGTTTTGGATTTAAAATCCATAAATCGAAAATGGGGTAAAAAGGAAGTCACGTTTAGGTTGTAATTAAGCAGACTCGATGTAGAGAAGATTGATAATTTGTTTCTTGGTTGTTTTGACGAAACGTGTCACATAAATTGTGCAAAATACATCGGTGTTATTATATTTATAAGAAGTAAAGGAACGAAGGATAAAAGGATCTTCTCGTTTGTTAGTTGTACAAAAAAGAGAAAAAAAGAAAAAAAAGAGGAGGGAGAAAAAGAAAAAAGATATTCGAGGAAGAATATACAGTAGATATTTGTAAAGGTCATTGGTCTTTGTCTGATCATACGTGTGAAAGTAGTCGAAGATTGTGGCACGGATCATGTGATTTTTAAAGATAAGTAAACCTAAGGGCGGTAAAAATAATTCTGTAATCGTCTTTCGATCATTTGTTAACTCTGAGCTGTGTTAATATTAATGTAAAAGTGAGACGGCGAAGTCGAATTACAACGACACTTTTGTCCGACCAGAGGCAGAGCGGAGCGTTGTAGTTTTTCCGTGGCCGGTTCCGATATGTGTAAACGTAAACAAAGTACCGATTAGGCTGTACTTTCTTCTGCGCGAACGGAAATGAAAAAAGAGTATTTAGAGCGGAAGTACGAGGGAAGTAAGAGAAGAAGGAAACGTAGGAGAAAACGAAGACGAGAATGAAGAATGCGAAGAAGGAAATAAAGTATAATAAGAGAAGAGCGACATTGTGCGAGTGGATCGATCGAACGGATGGTGTGTAGTCACCACTACAGTAAGCAGAACGTAGCAGTAAAATAGAACTTTTATAAAACAAGGTAAAAAGAAAAAGGCGAATATGAGAAGAGAGAAACAAGTAGTAGTACTATTTAAGTACCAAATTATATGCCTGGCGTGTGTGAGTGTATATGATACACAATTGTATACACTGTATATGTATATGTATAGACGCATATACCGTAATACGAGGTATTTGCGAATGGACAAAGATTTAATGGTAACTAGCTCGGCCAAATAACGAACCCTAATCAAAAAAGTACAAAAAATCGTAAGAGGGAAATGATAACGTTTCTTTATGAAAGCGCGTTATTATTACACATGTGGTATCCGCTTAAAGTTTAGTCTCGTTTTTACTAATTCTAACGTAGTCTCTAGTCCTTTTTAGCACCGTCGTTTTTTCTAATCACACGCTCAGCATGTGATTTAATCATCGCGCGATTATCCGAAGGGCAGCATACGAACGTTCGGATAGAAAGAAGAATATTTCACAAGTCAATTGCAAAAAAAGAAAGAAAAAAGAAAAAAAAAATTAGAAGAGGAAGCAAACGTTTAACGAAGTAACACCGTGTCGAATGAGTAACGATTTTGTCGTCTTTGTTGTACTTTTTCTTCCGTTCGTTCTTTATTTTTTTTTTCTATTTCCTCTTTCTCATTGCGGTTTCTCATTTGCGCGAATTTAAGCGACAAGAGTACGCGATTACTTTTGATCTATCTAAGTGAGAAGACATTCTCGTGACACGGCGTTACGTACGGTGGAATTACGATGTAAAAAGGAGATCAACAAGAAGAGAAAAAAAAGACGCTCTGGTGGTATTTTCTTTCCCCTCGTTAACATGTAAGTGTTTTTCGCTCGTGTTGCCAGAATTTACTCTTGGCAGGTGATAAAAGAAAAAAAAAAATGAATATAAAGATTTAAGAATTTAATCGAGATGAGATAGAAGTTTATATTAATATAGAATATATCAAATAGATTATATTAAATATATAATATATCGATGTACAATAATTCTAAATGACGATTTATTATTATAATTGCTACGATTATCATATTATATTATATTATATATTATGTTATTATTATTATCATTATTACTTACTACTACTACTACTATTATCATTATCATTATCATTATCATTATCATTATCATTATTATTATTATTATTATTATTATTATTATTATTATTATTATTATTATTACTACTACTACTATTATTGCTATTATTAAATCCGTAATAAGAATTATCGAGGTGGATTAATCAAATTTACGTTGCTTTATGCCCTTGGATCCCGACGATCACACGCGCGAAGCGTTTTCGATTAACGATCTGACTTGGAAATCTCTGGTACATATATGGTAAATCATGTTTTCAAGTCGATCCTTGGACGCGACAAAAACGTCTGCATCTTTAAAGTTGCAATTATTCGTTAAAAATTGACAGTACGGTTAATGACATTTCTTTTTTCTCTTTCATTGTTTCCTTTGCTTTTCTCTTTCCTTTTCCTTCTTTTTTTCTTTTTCTTTCTTTTTCTTTTTTTTTTTTTTTTGCAAAAAAACACGCGATTTCATATTAAAACTGTTTCGTCACGAAAACCGTTGACTGTGACTTTATTACAGTACTACCGTCTGTAAGCACGTTCGCTGACCAAAACGATCTTTCGATGTTGTACATTTTGTTACTCGTGCTTAACCGTTCTAGCGAAAAATTATTCCGATTAACTGCGCGTAATCACCGCGAAGAAAGACAATCTCACGATACATGCTCGTTGTAATCTAATCGATGTAAGTACTTACGTAAGACGACGAAAGACTTACGCAAAGCCAAATATCAAATGCAGCGAATCGTTGCCCTGTCGTTGTTGTTGTAAAACGTTCGCCGGCTGTTTCGATATTTTACTTTCCTTTCTTATTTTTCCATCGTTCTACCTCTTTTTATCGTACGGCCATTAGCGAAGCCACGACTGTGTGTCGTTTGGTTCGTTTCATTGGTATTTTATAAGAAACGACTAATGGGACGATCGGAAGCTGTATCGTCGGCAACTTATTAACGGCGAAAACCACGTTGATATTGCGAATCGCGTTTCACGTACTTTCAAAGGCCAAGTTTACGAATCGTTTAAACTTTCGAAAGTCTTCCTAAATTGTGTACAGGACTTTAAAATCGATTTCTCTTCGGAATTACACATCGATTCGATTCAGGAGAATAGCCTCTGTTGGAAATGAACTTAGCATTTGATATCGCTGCAAAGAGGTATCTGTGCACACACGCGCACACACATAGTATTACAGTTTAAAAGATCGAAATCGAAATAATCGAACCTGTAAGCGGTTAGACACTTTTTTAAGAATCGGACTCTACCTTACATCGACTCTATCTTCGGTTCGATGCTTGCGCCGCTTTGTCATACTCGTAATTGGCAATAGTATATTGTATCGATATCGTGACGTTGTAACAGAATGAGCTTCGCAAGCGCCTCGTCGCTGTAACAGGAAAAAAGAAGAAAAATGTGGTCGCTCGACGAGATTTTCAATTTGAATTTCTATGGAATAAGCTCGTCGCGGATTCCTTTCTGTCATATTTCCGTACAAGTATGCATGTAAATAGAGTTTATATAATGGTAATATGCGCGAATACA